AACTATAGAGATAGCTCAGGATAACCTGAGCCACTCTAACTAGAAGCTTTATCAAAAAAACACTAGAAAACCCAGAGATATGAGAATTTACGTCAGCCTTCAATCCCCCCTCAGTACTTCACAACTCATGAATCTCTTTTCAGCTGCATCTGCCCCATTAGCGCTGTGGCTGGAGAACCATTCCACCCCCTTCAGTTTACGTTTTAGCTCAAGTCTCTCTCTTGGAGACTGTTTTACCTGAGAGCAGGGGGGAAGAAAATCATATTTGTAATTAAATATAACTAGGTCTACGTCATCAGTGTCGCCAACACCACAATGATTTCAGTGCAGCCACCAGCGCAGCGATCAGACGATAACTGATCTGTATAATGAAAACAGCTGCATGAGCTGGAACGCTGTAGAAAGCAACAATATTTATACAATAATGACTATTTATACAATAATGACCATTATTTATTTGGGGGGAATTATAACTCAAGCGATCTCTCCTCTCTCTCTCTCCTCCGCTGCAGCAGTGCAGACAGCATCGTGAAACTGCAGTAACCTTGGCAATATATTCACAGATTCGGCTTTTCCGGATTAAAATCTCATCTGCAGATTATTTATTCTACAAAACTGTCATGATTTTACTAAAGTTCAGACCCAAATGCAGAAGACTAAACAGGGAGACCAGGGGAAAAGGTTTAACAGATTTTATTTAAGAGATAATGCAGAGAGAAGTGTTGCTCTGAACACTGCTCAACCGGAACTGAAAAGTGAGGGGAAGGCACAGCGATTAGTTCAGACTCAGTGGGAAAATAGATTCGTGAACTTGGAGAAGAGGATTTGGTTGCTGACTCATGTTTCCAGATAAGTTTTTGAATCTTTGACTCCAGTCTGTATGCTGTAGTTCCAATGTTTGTCTGATTCGGTGGAGGGCGGAACAGGGTTTACCCAGAATGCGCTTGTTTGTAGGTGAATGGAGAAATTGACTGCCACTCAGATTTCCTGCGGTACTTGAACGGGTCATAGTGGAGATGAATACCTTTCTCAGTGTGAGGCTCAAACGATCTGTTGGGGAAAGTGGATCCAAACCTCCTGTTTGAACCCCAGCTCAGTTGGAAGCTCAGCTCCAGGGAGAGAAGGTCCAAAAAAATCCAGTTTGCAGGATGACTTCCTGCCGAGGGGCAAAAAACAAACAATGTTAAAACTCAGGTTGACAAGAACTCAGTTTGGCTCAGCAAAACTCAGCTTGTCTAGAGTACCCAAAACTGGCAAATACTCTGGCGTCGAGGTAGTGGCAGTCAGCAGCTTAAGAACACTCCGTTAACGAGGAAACCATCAGCAGGTGTGTGAGGAGGCGGACCAGAACCAGGCGCCTCCTGGTGGAGGAAGGGAGACTAACACAGAACACAAACACACAGACTGGAGTCGTGACAAAAACAGACACCTCTCTGCAACCACAGCAAGCCATACAGTGAGCTAAAACTGTAGTTTTCTCAAAACTAGTCTCCTTTGACGCTGGGAGAATTACATTGGACTCTATGGGGAGCTCACTGCTCCAAAAATGCTCCGTCTGCAAGTTGCAAAAATAATCAGAGAGAAATATTCAAAAGAGAGGTGGATTATTATCACATTTATTGAATTCGAAAATAATACTTTTCTGAGGAATTTCCAAAGCTTAAATGACAAATGGCACCTCTATTCTGTTATTAGAATAAGAATAAAATGAGCAATGACTACACTATAGACCACTGTACTGCCTCCAATCTTGTAGGATACACAGATAAACTCATCTGGATCAGACTACTACTCTTACTTTGGGAAGATAGGCCAAAATGTATTTTTGGAGATTATTTCTATGTTATTATAAGCATATAATAGCCAATAATTACACTATAGATCATTGTAGTGCCTCAAAACACAGATAACCTTATCTAATTCACACTACAACTCTTACTTTGGGAAAATGTGCTAAACTCTATTTATTTAGAGTTTTCATTGTTATAAGCATATAAAAGCCAATAATTACTTATGACTTAGACAGATTTATTTTGTCATTTTTTATACACAAGTGTAAACAAAAAGAAATTTCGTCAAGAATAGCTCTAGACAATTTCATATTTTAAAGTGAAGCCTTGAAAACAGTAATAAATACATTAAAAAGATATTTATATAAACATATGACGGTATATTTACAGTTCTAACATTCTTTTTTTTTCTCACTTTAGGAAGATAGGCCAAACTATTGTTGGAGAGTTATTCATTGTTATTATAAGCATATAATAGCCAATAATTACACTGTAGATCATTTTAGTGCCACAAAACTTGTAGCACACATAGATAACATCATCGAGTTCATACTACAACTCTTACTTTGGGAATATGTGCTAAACCCTTTTTTTTTAGAGTTTTTCATTGCTATTTTAAGCAGGCCAGGTGTGCAATCTCTGCAACAGGAACCACAGCACTGATCGTTGTGTGCACTGCACAAAGTTTGCAGGAAGGACTCACCTTGGGTTTGTGAAAACTGCTAAATGGGACAACTGTAGCTTCACATGTAGAGCTTTTCCTTGGGTGAAATAAATGTTACTCCAATACTAAAATCATACTGTTTGTCATTCTCTAAGCTGAAATGCTAAATGACATGAAAAGGCAAGAACAGACAAAATACAATTATTCTCTAAGTTGTTCTTTCTTTCACATAGTGAGCTTTGCAATATAAATGAGTCTGTTGGTGAACGGACAATATAAATAGGCTCTGCCTTGCCTTGTTGGAAAAGCATGGTTATCACCTGTTCTCAGCTTAGGAACTAGGACCCGTATGATATCTGGTTGTTCAATAGGTTTGCCTAAATAAAAGATTTAGATATGACTTATCAAG